TCCTAATCCTCTCAACTCCTTTGCTACATTTACTCTGGGAGTTGATGGAATAGGAGGTTGGAAACGCGTCAATATTGCATCTAATGTTCAAAAGAACACATCTTGATCAGCTACAAGCACTCCAGAAGGTGTTTGTTCTTCACTATGCCTGGCCAGGGCAGGTGAATTACTGCTTTCAGCGGGTCTATCATCTCCCGCTTCATTCTTAGAACTACCTTGTCCGGACATCTATAAAAATACAACCATATAATTCTATTAGCAAAACAACATACTTACTATTCCATCAGATCATAAGTTTTCACTATTTGTTGGTATGTATATATTATACGACACTCTAGACTCCGGTTTATGCCGAGAATCGACTAAACCTTAGCTCTGATACCATTAAATGTAACACCCCGACCCGTACCCGATCCGAATACGAGTCTGAGATGTCACATTGCATTTTTAAAACATTTTTCCTTACAAAATAACAAAACATTTAAACTTATTTTAAGAAAGTACTATAATAAATTATTGAATTATGTTTATAATAAAATTTTAGGCAAAAACATATTTGTGTACATTAAAATACGCATGAACAACAATCTGCTACAATACCGTGAATAGTAACTGCTACAGTAACCTGCTATAGTACCGATTACACAAATTTTCCAGAATGCAAATAGGGAATCGGTACCCTGCTACAGGGAATCGATTCCCCTGCTACAGTACTGCTATAGTACTTCCGTAAAACGTACATAAAACTCGTAAAAATTTAACCATTCATTACTATACATTTACATTTACATAAATATGTTCAAAATATTAGAAAAGTCGATCAGAGCGTTAGTACTACAACTTATTATATTTCTTACATACAACATATTATACACAATCAAATACATACTTTAGTAATTACTTCTGATCTGATCTTCTAACAGTGTGTTGTTTTTTTGTCACTTCTATTTCTGCTAATCTTGGTTCTTCGTACTTACCAATAATCTTCTCAATTTAAAATCATCATAAATTCATATAATAAATTCCGTAAGTTCAATAGATTCAATAGCCCATGATACAATACTGAGAACCCGAGGTATGTGAGTACTGTGAGGTTGTGCACTATGCTGTCACCACAACTCATATAAATTTGCACCGAAGTTCCAATTAGAATTTGCCCCGAAGGACCGCGTAGAGATGCACCGAAGTGCCATGTAGAATTGCACCGTAGTGCCATATAATATGTCCCTAAGGACCACATAGAAATTCCTTAAGAATCATATACATATACCAATGATCAAGTACATGTCTCAAAAGACATCATACATGCTCCAAAGAATACATATACGTCCCGAAGGACCACGTAGAATTTTTGTCCTGAAAGACCGTGTAGACCCTCTACTCTTGGCATGCCAACTATACCTATAGTTCTCATCTACATAACATGGGCTTTTACATTTCACGTAGTTTATATCGCGTAGACATGTAACTTCTTACCTTTATCACATAGACATATGATCATAATGTACACTTAGAAGTCATATATTATTCATGTATCAAGATATAAATCTAGACTTATCACAAGTCTAGACCTGAATGTATTTCTAATCATGATATGCATATGCACTCACCTAAATCTCTTTGCCTTTCCCTCGATCGATCTTACTCGTCCCTTGTTCCGGAACTCGTTTAGGCTCGATATCTACATGACATAATTTTCGAGACAATTATCAAAATCCTAAACCTTGCAATTAACCTCTAACAGCTTAAACAATTTAATGAACTAAATCTCAACTTTTCCTTTAGGGGGAATCGATTCCCCCCCAGGGATATCGGTTCCTCTGCAAAATCTGTAAATTTTACTGTTCAAGCCCGAAAATCATCAACCCTTCACTAAATTTTACAAAGTTCATTTCCATACTACCAAACTTAACTACAACCATTTTAACTAACTTCTATCATTTCAACACTTTATTATTTTCAATATTTCATTCAAATTCTTAAAACCAATAATCACCCAAATTCCAAACATGTTATTAATCAATTCTAACACTCTATATTCCTTAATTAACCTCTGACAAGTCAAAATCTATTCAAACTTCAAAAACTCATCCATATCAAAATTTCATCTAAAAACCCATTTTTCAAATCTATCTCTAAAACATTTATCTTGTTGTTTTAATGTCATATAAGCTTTGATTTAGCTTATATAACATCCAAACTTCAATTTCCAAGCTAAAAATCAAAGAAACGACCAAAGTTCGGATTCTTACCTTGAGCTTGGGTTTCACGTTGAAGAGGAAGAAGATGAAGAGAAAAGGGGGATGAGTAATATGGAACTTATCTCTTCAATTCATTCACATGGGTATTGTAATACCCACAATTTATTATTTTATTATTTATTTGCTCAATGACCCTTACCCTCTTACTTTTCTTCACTTATTAATCAATCCTACACCAACATCTTTCAATTAATTCATTCACTTTTCAATTTATTTAGTTTGGTCATTATTAAAAATCTTACACTTAAATCACTGACCCGATATTGAGGATGTTACAGTATTTATATCCCCACCGGTGCTGGTCAGTTCCGATTGCTGTGGTAACAAACTTGTCGTTGGCCGATGATTTCGGGATGGGTCAGTCCCGATTTCCCCGGCCGGAAATCTCGGCGACATTGAACCGCCCCTTGACTAGCTCTGTTGGTTGTTGGCGCATGGTGACCTTTGATATCTTGACTATGCGGCACCTGTGCTTTCTTTTAGGGTTCCCAAACCCTAACATTTACTGGGCTGGTTCAGGCTCAGTTTTGGACCAGGATAATGACTGTATTGGACCAATTGACCTGAAACAAAAAGAAATAAAGATAAGTAAATACATAATAATAATAATAATAATAATAAATATATAAAAAGTATCTCTTTTTTTTAAAACTATATAATTTAAATTTCTAAAAATGTTCTTTTAAAAATCTATATATTATATATAAATTTTCAAAAATATTTTTTTAAAAATATATAATTTTCAAAAAAAAAAATTTAAAAACTATATAATTTTCAAAAATGTTTTTTTAAAAATTATATATTATATAAGTTTTTAAAAAATATTTTCAAAAACAATATTATATAAGTTTTAAAAACTATATATTATATAAGTTTTTCAAAATGATTTTAAAAATTATATATTATATATATTTTCTAAAATGTTTTAAAATCATATATTTAATAACTTTCAAAAGTATTTTAAAAACTATATATTGTATATATTTTCAAAATGTTTTTAGAAATTATATATTATATACGTATTTTCAAAAACCGTTTGCAAACCATATATATATATATATATAATAAAAAAATATGTGGACGAAAATGAGTGTCTACACAAAAAGTTGTGAAATGATCACTTGATTATATGTATGTTCTAATTTGACTCTTTTTGTTAAAAATTAAATTATCGTCTATTTTTAATGTTAATTTGTTGACTAAGATATAATAAAATTTAATCCAAAAATTGTTTTAATTGTATAGTCATTTGAGATTCTAGAATAAGATTTTATCATATCTCAGGTAACAGGTTAACGTCCAATTAAGACGTAGTCATTTTTCTAACAGAAAAGAACGAGCTTTGAACATATGAAAAGTCAAATGATCATTTTATAATTTTTAATAGTCAAAAAATTAAATAAAATAATATTTTAAAATTGAGAGATCATTATTAACTTTTATAGTTGTTTTTATACAAGGCGAGGGCTACAAATTGAAAACTACTCTCTGTGCCGAGCATTTGCTAACAACAAATGTCTCCGATACAGACTCCAGAATGATCATGTAGTAAGTCACCTATGGAAGGGAAATCATTTTGATTTTTGGTCATAACGGTGTTCAAACAATTAATTCAGTTAATAATTAAATTAAATTATTTTAAATTAATGTAACTCAATTGAAATTTGTTATAAGTTATGATTTATGTTTTTTTTTCATTTAGGTATGAGTATTTTTATTTTTGTTAGATAACCTGTGATCTATCTGTATTTTTTTAGTTGGGTTTGGATATATGGATCTTTAAATTTTAATGGGTTTGAGTTTAAAATATATATAATATATTTAATATTTTTTATTAATTATGTTAATTTATTGATTTTACACAATGGTTAGCAAAATCCTTTTAAATAAATAATATATATTCATGTCCTTTATTGTTTGGTTAGTGTTTCAAGGTTTGAGAGAATTAGCAAAACTCTAAACAAACATATCAATCCTAACAAACTTAACAGATTATCGACTGGCCCGATAACGGCCCAACAGCTCATAATGCATCTGTCTAACGCTCATCGTTATCGTTTCTTCACAAAAAAAGGACAAATAACTCAACATATCCGTCTAAGCTTATTCGCTGCATGAAAAAAGGAAAAAGAAAATGCCTATATTATATAGCATGCGCCATGTGGTGATGCCCTTTCTCGCAAAGATATTGAAGCACTGCCATCCTGATATTTGCATGCTAAAAATTATGGCAACTCTTTTTTTTTTTTTTTGTGGTTCATTTTGAATCCACCTGTTCTGTCTGACATAATTTGTTGCTGGCACATATTAATCAAAAGGAAAGCAAAGGGATAGCAGTGCACTTTCGTTTCTAGCCAAATTGCCATTACTAGTTATAGATTCTCAATATTCTTGAACTGGTGTCTTGATGTGAATGATCTTTTGTCGTGAAATCAAACTTGTATGATTGCCATATAAAAACTATCTCTTTGGGTATGTTATCAAGGGTTGTTCCTTTTGGCAACACCAGGAAACGAGTGAGTGCAGCTGGATTTTGAAGAAAAATATACGAATGAGTATAGCTGCAACAGTGTTAAGGGTACCATCTGATGCTTATATGTATGTATCCATAATCTGGAATGAAATTAGAAAGATGGAGAAGGTATTTTGGGATAAACTGTTATGCCACATTCTTCGTATCCCAAATTAGAAATGAGAATGAGTAGTAATAGTTTTTTTTTATAAAAAAAAGCCATTAGCTTTATTCATTAATTCATCTACAGTACTAATCTATTTTCATAAATATCACGATAACTTATTGTCACCCATAGCAACACACACAACAAGATGAAATTACATTAAAACCGAGAGACTTGGAACATATAAACTAACAATTGAAAAAGAGCGAGAGCTCAACAGTGGCATTGTAGATTTATAGTTCTAGTGACATTTGGGCTCGAAAGCGAATGGTCCAACGCTGTAGAGAACATATGGGAGCTTCTTTGAAGTAGATGAATTCTCGGGCTTTAAGGGGGTGCCTTTCAGTCCACCGTTCAGATTAGATGGTGTGCTGCATGATTTCAACGGTGATGATATGAGGGAGACCGAGCAGTTGCGCAGGCTAAAATTGTAGATGGTATTCGGTGCTCTAAGGAAGAAATAGCCATTCTTGTCGGTCGTGAACTGGACGGTTAGATTGTTCTTAGAGTCCTTGCATGCTAGCCTTACAGTGGCACCTGCCAAACACAATCCCAAAGCGCTCAGTTGCGTCAGGTTAATTATTTAGTTTTACACCTGCAATGAAAAGCAAACTGCCAAGGGTATCATAGCAATGCATGCCCGTTATTGACGTTACATACACATAGAAATGCGAACCACATTAAAAAGAGGGGAAAAAAGGGGTAAAGTTAATTTGCTGCCGCTTTTACTCATAAAACGCCAAGCTCGTTATGCCTGGAAGTTGCAGGCAACATAAAATGCATGTTTCCATGAATGCAAAATGCCAAATCACATCAGAAAATCATGATACATCTGGTACGTGCAAAAATAATTATAAATATGCATGAATAGCATTCATTATAACAGGTGGACAAAAGATGTACATGCACGCCTAAATCAAATGATTATAAATACAAGATTATTGCTAACGACTCTGTCAATGCATACGAATGAAGTAATCAGGTACAACATTAAGCTTTCTAGTGGAAGTTTTAGTTTAACGAATAAGAAATAGGTTTTGAACAAACCAAGAACTGGTTTAGCTCCCAAAAGGGTGTCGACTCCAGCGTACTTGCATGACTTGCAATAAACAACGCCCTGCACTGCCACATTACTGATTTGAGGTTTAGGGTAACTCGGTGGCTGGACTGGAGGAGATGGTGGCTTAGTTGGAGGATGAACTGGTGACTTGGGTGCCGGGTAAGTAGGCGGTTTGGTGGTTGGTGGCTTAGTAGGAGGACGAATTGGTGGCTTGGGTGCAGGGTATGTCGGTGGTTTGGTAGTTGGTGGCTTAGTAGGAGGATGAACTGGTGGCTTGGGTGCCGGGTATGTCGGTGTTTTGGTGGATGGTGGCTTGGGTGGTGGGTAAGTGGGTGGTTTAGTGGTCGGTGGCTTTGTTGGAGGATGAACTGGTGGCTTGGGCGTTGGGTGAACTGGTGGCTTCGGTGGTGCAGGAGTCGGGGCTTTAGGAGGATAGGTTGGGGGCTTGGTCGGTGCGGGGCTGGGTGGATGGGGATGGGGGTGATGGTGGTGGTGGTGGTGGTGGCTTGGCGGGGGAGTAGGTTGCTTTACAGGTGAAACTGCATGGTAACTAGGAGGAGAAGCCTGAGGCAAAATTGGATCTGAGACGACGAAGCTGCTCAGTAACAACTGCGTAAGCTGCAGAAGCAGAAGAGCTCTGACTACTAGAGCTAGCCCCATATTGTGCTATGTTATAGAGACGAGTAATAAGATGGTGAAGTCGGGGTGTTGTAAGGATGGGATATATAGGGGTTTAGGCCATCCTTCTCTGCCATTTTTACTGATGAAATGATGCTGTATAATGGGGTGGGGGTTGTAGGCATGGTTTTTAGAACCGGACCGTTAGCGAATCGGTCATGCTATCGGTTTATTGGTTCAATCGATCGAATCGGTTTGATCGGTCGGAAGAACCGGATGACGTCATAATTATTTAAAAAATTAAATAAAAATACCAAAAATATTTAATAAAAAATAATTTTTTATATCACAAGTCATATTCAAAGCAAATCATAACATATATAAGTTAAAAACCATAAAATCAAGTGAAACAAAATGATTTAAATTAACTACAACGTAATATTTAAGGTAAAACATATTAAATAATAAATATAATTATATAATTATAATTAAAAAATAAATTTAGGGTTAAAAAAATCATAACAAAATGATATTGTTTGGTTTAATTTTTTTAAAAAAACAATCTCACATGGCTAAGAAACATAGAAGAGCATCTCAAAAGTCTAAAGAGTAAAAATATGAGAACAAAACAATCTCACATTGCTAAGAAACATAGAAGCGCATCACAACTAACTTCTATAAATAATAGAGGTAATTTGACATTCAAAATCATTGAACTTTTTGGTGAGCATTGAGTGAACTATTCTTTCACTTCAATCAAGCTCGAATTTTAGGCTTCAATCGAGCTTCAATTTTTTTTTTGAATTCAAGTTTCAATATTATATTTCGAGTTTGAGTTGAACTTGATAATTTTTAGCTTGTGAGTTTGAGTTGAGTTGAGTTGAGCTTACTTTTAAAGTTTTCAAGTTCGAGTCGAGCTCAGCAATACTCGAGTTTGACTTGGCTCGTTTAACAAACGACGTTGTTTGGTTTAATTTTTTTTTATTAAAAAAACAAAAATTCAGGTTTTTTCCGATTTTCAGCCGGTCCGGTTCGAACGGTTCAACAGTTTTAATCGATTCACTAATAACGGTTCAACCGGTTTAGATTAAATCGGACTAAATAAGGGTTCACGATTAAACTGGACGGTCCGATCCGATTTTCAAAACAGAGGTTTTAGGCTATTATTCACAAAATATAATAAATGTTTAGTGAAAACTAATGAATTTTGTCCACGCAAATCGCAATGAAATGTAGAAGTTTCCAAGGAGTAGTGAACCATTTTAATTAGAAAATTTGTTGATTTAATTAAACACAGGGCTTTTGGAATGATAAACTTGTAAGCCTTCTGTATTTGAGCAATCATAGCGTACCATAAAAGTGGGATAAAGGTAATGTGAAAGTTGAATGGTAAAATGACGGGGGTGAGAATATCGAGAACTTTACAAATCATTTAATGATTTGGGTCCATCCCTAATCAATATCAATCAACAGCTTGTGACGATAAAAACGGACGGAGGAGAATTGGGGATGTTGCATTGCCCCTTCCCCAAATCTCACTCATTTTTGTTGTTTTCCACCACAATTTGAAAAGAAAGTAGCAAGTCGCTTGGAGAAAAATTAACCACAGAGCGACAGATTAGGGTAGTTTTTTTTTATAAATAAATCACTAATTTTATTTAAAATAAGAAATATCTTAAATTTATAAAAATTTATAATTTAATTTATAAATTAAACACATAATTAAAATAATTTCCTATAATAATAAAAACAATTTTTTGTATACTCGATGACATGTCAAATATTGAATTATGAGATTTGATTGCGTGTATTTCACAATTATACCAACATGTTATGTAAATTATTACAATGTCATTATCAAACGAAAACCATGAGATCATTACATAAATATAAATAATATTACAATTTACGTAATTTTATATTGATATATCATTTTTTAAACAATTAAATGAATAAAATGAAATAAAAATAACATTTAAGAGTATTAAACGTATAATTTATCCTAATTTTAATTACCCAAGTTGCAGCTGTTCGTGGTTTCAGTCGAAGCAGATAATCGTGGAATAAGTTGTCGGTGGAGGATAACCGGTGAAGACCTTTTGTAAGCGGGACCATCCATATATCAAAACAATACGGCCAGACAGCATCACATGACATCAAATCTTACCAGATAACTTGATCATTCGCTATTATGATAATTGAGTTCTTTTTCCCTTTTACAAACCCTGCTATTATTTAATTTTTTTAAATATATATATATATGATGATAAATTAAAATTGTTTAATCAAAGTATCAAGTAATACTGTAAATAACAAATAAATATAAAAGATGACAAAATTCACAATGGTTTATGATTACAACCACGCTCTGCATGGACCACATCTTGAATGGATCGAGGCTCATGGTAATAATTGAACATGTAATAAATTTAGGTAAATTATTTGAATAATTATTTAATTATGTATAAATTTTATTTATATAATTAAATAAAAGATTTTATCAATCTTATTGTTTAATTATTTACATAATATTAATTAAATTATTGATTACTGATTAATAATTAAAATATTAACATAATAATTAAATAATTTATATAATTATGTTAGTTTTAATTTAATTCAACAATTTAAACTATCAATCAAAATAAAATCAATATATTATTTAAATAAATAAATAGATTGATTGATAAAATTAGTAAATTAATAATTTGATTAAACTAATTAAATGATTATTTAAGTAGTTTATCGGGTAATTTTTACCCTTGTTCTCTAATATACCTCAATTGCATATGAATATATGATTATATTTATATACAAATATATATCATAAAATTATTAATTGAGTTTAATAATTTAACTAATTAATTGAAAAATGAAAAATAGTTAAAAAATATTTTTTATGAAATAAAGAACAAAAATAAAAGGTATGAGAACAAAGAAATTTTACATTGATTTTTCAATGTGAAATGTACTAAGAGACTTCTTTGATCTCTATATTTATAGCCATAGATAGTAGAGATAATGTGTAATTCCAATAATAATGAATATTAAAGATTTGATAATAGAATACATTAAAATTTTAGTCTCTATACTACGTTTAAAATTTTCTTTTTGTCTTTTTTTTATAAAAATAAATATTTTAATCCTCGTACGTTTGAAAAGTTAAAACTTTGGTCCAAAACGTTAAAGTTATTGTTAGCTTGCTTAAATATTTTGGTTTAAACACTCTTTAGGTATCTCAATTTTGAACTCAAACAAATTATTCGCTCTAAAAATGTAAATGTAACTCCAAGCTTTGTTGTCTTCACTTACAATAATATTATAATTACGATCTAAAATATGTAAAATATTTAATTAAAAATGTACTTTGAATTTTCGTAAGATTTTTAAATTTATAATGAGACTAATGATTTAATTGTAAGAAATAATGTAAAATTATTTTATAATGACACGTTGATATCATTATTAATTTTTTAATAGCGGGTGACTAAAACGTAACTACATGTATTATTTTGAAAAAAACATAATAATTGGGTGACCAAATGGAACTACGAGAATAATTTGCTGGCTAAATATGTAGTTTACCCTAAATCATATGCCTAAATATGGTGTTTGATCTATTAGTTGGGACCTCTAAAAGATTGGGTTAAGATGTGATGGGGGCCATTGAGCATAATTCCAAAGATGCAACTGTTAGGAGTAATTTGGTGGGATAGTGGGGGTAAAGTCATGGCAGATTTCCCCAGAAGTTGCTGACAGTACAACAAGTTTGTATAGGAGCCGAGTTAGCTGTAATGAATAAATTGGACAGTTGTTTTGGAGAATGATATTGTTAATTAGATAAAGAAAATAGAGACTAAGTGGCAAAGAAGATTCATTTCAAGAGACGAATGAAAAATTTTATGTCAGTCATGTAAACATAAGAAGTTATTAAAGGATTTAAAATTTATGTCAGTCATGCAAAGTTATAGAATTATAAGGATACGGAATTAGATAAATTAAAAAAACATAAAATATAAGGGGTTTAAAATTTTTAAGGAGTACAATCGTATCCCGACACTCCTCGATCCCTCATTGAATTTTGTTCGATGAAGCTTCTTTTATTATTAAAAATGAAACAAGTAGGGAGAGCTGCCTCTACTCATGGCAAGGAATGTGTATTATGACTGGGTACGGCAACCACCACCTTCTATCTTCTTCATTTGGAAGAGATCGATTTATGATAATTTTGGTTTATGCAATATACAATTACAAATTATGAGTACAAAATTATCCCTGTTTTAAAAAATATATATTTTTATAATATTTTTAATTTTAATTTATATAAAACTATAATAAATTCTTATTTTAAATAAATAAGTGTTGATATATGTGTTTCGCGATTATAAATTCTTATTTGGAAGAGATCGATTTAGAAAATCGCAATGCGATTTGTGTTTCGCGTTGCGATTTTGTCGTTGCGATTTCATTTCGCGTTGCGATTTTGTCGTTGCGATTTTCATTTCGCATTGCGATAGCCATTTCCGCGTTGCGATAGTCATTTTCGTGTTGCGATTTTTAAGTTTCGTGTTGCGAAAGTAAACTATTCTTCTTCTGGAATGTTTATATATGTTGTCCTTTTAAATGTTTATATAAGTGCTTACTTCTGGAATGTTATCTGAGCATTTTGTGAACTATGATAGAATAATGACTTAGGTGAATACAATGCTAGTTTGAAATATATTTGTCTTTGTTTAATATCATGTCTGTTTATTTACTGATTTATGCATTAATTTTTTTTAGCGGCCCGATAAGGTGGATGCTTTACGTCGGGTTTTCCTTGCACGACAGAGTTCACGCATCAGACGGCGTGGACGTGCTATTACGTCTCCGTTCACCCTAATGGTGCGAAGACTCCGCAAGAAGAAGCCCGACTCACCGATCATCCCTCAAGAGTCCCCTCCAATCGTTCAAGAGGCCCCTATTCTCCCTCAAGATTCCCCCCCCCCACCGTTCAAGAGGCCACTGTCATCGTTGAAGAGGTCCCTCCCACCATTCCAGAGCCCGATTCACATGGGGTAATATATCGAAGTATTGAGAAACCTCCACCGGTTCCGGACATGATGGATGAGAGTTGGCTCTCGTATGAGTTACCGGCTAGTACCCTTCCGGTATCTGAAGTGGAGAGGAGACAACTACCGGAAACAATTATGGATAATACCCTTTGGGCTAAGACCGCAGTTGATTTTTATCTACATGAGCGGAGCCAAGGGTGTTACACTGACATCAGCAAACTCAACGATGAAATATTTTTGTTGCTTGATCGGTCTTGGTGGGGTGTGCTATTAGGGGTTGAAGACAGTGGCTATTTAGATGGGGAGGTAAGTCTTATATTTGTCTTATATATGATTTGATTAATTTGTTTAAAAATTAATGTAATTCACTAATATGTATTTTTTTGTAAAACAACATATCGATGCGTGGGTGTCACGTCTACTAATAATAAGGAAGCTTAGGAAAAATAAAAAAAATTCGCTATATACAATAATGCCGACGGCTTTTCACGCAGTTCACTTGAAGAATCAACGAGATGAATCATTTTTGTTGGGCAATGGACAAGCTAAACTTTATCCTGCATGGTGGGAGGTCGATAAGGTTAGTATTTATTTTTTTTAAATTTTTTAAAGGTGTTCATAAATAAGTGCGCAAATAAATGAATTATTACTTATGATTGCAGGTGTTTATCCCTGTTTTGGAACGTCGTCACTAGCTTCTCGTCCAACTTCAGCTCCCATCCCTGAAGATAATAGTGTATGACAGCATGATCAATTACATATCACTGTCTGATTTGAGAGATATTTTCAAGGGATGGAGCTCTCATTTGGCTAAATTCTTGGATGGGATTAAGTATTGGAGTCATTCTGGACACAAGAAGCCAAAGAAGTTCAATGTCACAGTTGTCAGAGACGAGACCGCGCCACAGCAATCACCGGGAGCCAGAGGGGATTGTGGTCCTCTCGTATGCCTTTGCTTGGCGCATTTGACGACGGGAAGCACAGAGTTTTTACCTCCCACTGATAGAGATAGAGCTGCAGTAGGCTTGTGGTTTCGGCATTATATGGCTAGAGCAATATATTCGAGACGCTGCCTACCTGCATCCGTATTATGAAAGTGTCCATTGTTAATTGGTAAGTCAAATGCAAGTTTTGTTAACATATATATTCCTTTTGGTTTGAAAATGTTTCGTTAAGTACCTAGAATTCAATAATTTGCTGTTTGTAGGTTTTAGATGTGTAGGAAGTCTTGTTTGAGCAAATGTTTGGTTTCTGCAGGTTAATCCTTAAGTGAGCTGCGTGAAATGGATGTACGGGGTCACAAAGTTGTTAATTCATTGATTCAATAATTGATGAAGAAATAAGAATTATTATTATTTTTTGATTGTTTAATTGATTTGTAAAAGATGATTTGTAAATGTTGATTTGTTTAATTGATGTGTACATAATTTGTGTTGAAATGTAATAGTTGATTTGTTGATTTTCAATCTGCATTATGTTGAAGGCAAAACAGACTATCGCAACGCGAAATGGCTATCGCAACGAGAAAATCGCAATGCGAAATGAAAATCGCAACAAGAAAATCGCAATGCGATTTTCATTTCGCATTGCGATTTTCTCGTTGCGATAGCCATTTTCGCGTTGCGATAGCCATTTTCGCGTTGCGATAGTCAAATGAATGTCTAATAAGTGATAACAACTGAACAGATCATAGCAATGTTCAAACTCAAGTTACTAATACATGCCTAACTGAAAATGTTAAAAGTGCACACATAAACACATAATGCAAGTTTTGTTAATATATTACTCCTTTTGGTTTGAAAATGTTTGGTTAAGTACCTAGAATTCAATAATTGTTAAAAGTTTATGCATGTTAATCCTCGTTGCCTTTTTCATTTCGCATTGCGATTCTATCGTTGCGATTTGCATTTCGCATTGCGATGGTCAAATGATTGCCTTTCGCAACGTAATTCTGACTTTCGCAACGAGATAATACAGAATCGCAATGCAAGTTTCAAAGTTCGCAACAGGTTTTAGTTTCGCAAGCCAAATTTTTTGTGTATATATCTACGCAGCAGCAACAACTCATAACCTAAATCCCTAAATCGCAACTCATTCCATCTCCGTCTATCACTCTCTCCGGCGACATCCGTTCCTATATCCAACGACATCCTTCCCCATCCGGCAACAGGTCTTAGTTTCGCATCTCGTTTGTTTAGTTACAACCATGAAATCATCTAATGTTGATCATGTTTGGATAGATTTGTGTTTTGGAGGGTCATGGGAGAATGTTCATGGTGTTTTACAATATATGCCTTTACCCATGAATCTTCAACTAAAACTGTCATTAAAGAAGTTAACTTATGAAACCCTAATGTTACGTGTTTCAAAGAAATTGAATTTAGAGCCCCTAAGTGGATTTAGGCTATCTTATCAGAGAAATGGTAAAGTTTTTTTGTTAACCGACAATGAAGATGTTGAACGATTCATTGCTTACATTAATGTTTCAAGTGATGATGTTACATTGTATGTTGTTGAACCTAGAAGTATTATTGTTGGGTCAGTAGCGGGTAGTAATCAACTAAGTGGGTCTCAAAACCCACAACCTTTCTCTAATCCAAATCCAAATCAACTTTCAGCACCAAATTCCGGTTTTCGTATTGACCAATTAGACGATGATGAGCCAAGAGACAAAATTGTGAGTACTAGTCAGTATTCGAAATTTGATCTTGGTCAATACCCGGACTTTGATATTGGTCAATACACGGATTTTGATGACGTTTCGGAAGAAGAAACAGACACTGCGTGTAATGATTTTGATATTGGTCAATACCCGAATTTTGATGATGAAACACCCGTTGCCGAGGAAGATGTTGTTGATGATAATGAGGAGGAAGTTACGACTGTGAATGAACATGTTGAACATCCATTCTGTAATTCATATAATCCTGAAGAAGAAAAAGAAGAAAAAGTCCCCGAAGAAAAGAAAATGCCACAGGAGTATAACTGGAATATGCCAGAATTACTTCAGCTACCGGAAGAAGAGTTGGCAAAGAAAGCAGTTGATTGTTACACAAAAGTTATTCGTATCAAGAAAGATGATTGTTTTGATACAAAGGAAGACTTGAAGATAGCTTTGTATACGAAATGTGTGGAAGATGGCTATCAACTAAAAGTTAACAAATCAAGCAAAGATCGTTTCGAAACAAGGTGTACGATTGACAAAAACTGTACGTGGCGTATGATTGCAAAGAGGATAAAAGATTGTGCAATGTTTCAAGTTAGGACTTTTATTGATAAACATACATGTTCAAGAACCCAAGTTTTTCCTCACCATAGACAGGCAAACAAAAAGGTGTTGGGTGGTTTTCTGGCTGAGTTAATGTTTTTGAATGGCAGGGTATATCGGGGACATGAAATTATGACTGACATGAATGCTCGGTTCAAGATTAGTATATCATATTCTCAAGCTTGGAGAGCCAAATGTTATGCCTTGGAATTATTGAGGGGGTCGCCAGAAGCATCGTTTGCCCAACTGCCGGCTTATTGTCACAATTTAAAGCTGAAAAATCCTGGGTCGGTAACTCATATCAAAACAGATACAGATGGATGCTTTGAGTTGCTGTTTATCGCCATTGGTGCTGCGGTTAGTAAATCAATATAATTCTGTTGACTCATTTCTGTTAGTTACATGCATTTCACATTTAAATGATTATATTTCTTGTGTATATTATTTTGTAGATTCGTTCGTTTATT